GGCTTGTTTGAATGACGTTCGTTAGCTTTTGAGGACATTGAAAGATCCCTTTCAATGTTTCCATATGTTTGTAGTTTGTGTATGAGGTGTCCGAGAACACCCGAAGATGTTTAGACTATGCTCTTAGTTGTTTCCAACTGTTTTTAGAACCTTTGTGAAGCGTAGAACTGTTTTGAGTATGGTTTTGCATGTCCACAAATGTCCCGAGAACATTTGTGAACCTTGGAGAACGTTCGTCACTTTGGCTCAAGTGTGCGGCGAAAAGTGTGCGTGTCTTTTGCATGCTTTTTCTTTCGTTTTCGACTCGGGTCGTTGAGACACTTGACTGACTAGGTGTTTTGAGCACGAGAGCTTTTGATTTTCCGTCAGGAGTTTGTGTGTCAAACTTTCACGCAGGCAGGCATTCCCACGGGTGCACCACACACCGTCCAAACCACAATGGCGGATGGCAAGGAATCCAAAGACGACGTGGCCACCAGAGGGTCTTTCCCCTGTCCTTCCCTTTTCTGGCCGGTGGTGGATCAGGGACTGGTCCTGCCATTCTTTTGTCCATCTTGTCAAGGGCCCCTTCCGGGCGGAACCACCCAGAACGGAAGCAGTCAGTCGCCCTTGTGATGCGGTTGTCCAAGCGAGGAGCGAACCAACCTGATCTGGATCATTGCAGACACATCGTCAGGTCTGGCCTTCGTGCCTTGTCAATGGGCGGGTGTTGTTCCCGAGAGTGTGATGGGTTCTTCAAAAAAAAGAACAATCTTGCATCTTCACATCTGACACCCACGTCTCAGACCTTCACTTCTCAGATCCTCACATCTCAGATCTTCACATCTCAGGCCCTCACATCTCAGACCTTCACTTCTTATACCCTTATGTCTTCTTTTCTTTTCTCTGTTGAGCCGAGGCAGGAACCACGAGAAGTGTTCCGGTGCAACCCTCTGCGGCGAAACGTGCGTCAAGTGTCAAAAGCTCGATGTTCTTTGCGATTTTGAGTGTGTCGGTGCCCTTTGCGGCGAAAGGCGTGTGAAGTGTCAAAGACTCGAGGTGTGATGTTGGGACGACTTCAACGTCCACATCAAGACATTCTGACAGCCTTAGATAATTGCAAGACAGCAGAAGGCTTCAAGAGAAGCTTGCAGTTCATCAAGAGAATCAACAAGCAGCGAGAGAGAGAGAGAGAGAGGCCGTTGATAGAGCAGTGAGAGACATTAAGCGTGAGGAGATGCAAGAGACAGAAGGCACGCAAGAAAGGTATAGAAGAGGAGAAGGATTTCCAGCATGCAGAATTATGAAAACGCTATCAGTGGGAGCTTACTGGAAGAAACTGCAATCCCGGAGACTGCACTTTGGTGCGACTTAGAATCCAAGAAGGAGATCTTTAAGATGTGCACATGGCAGCTAATGGAGCTGGCAGCCCGCAGTTCAAGTGACAGACCAGGAAATGCACAAGAAGGCGAACCGCCTACAACCAGAAGGAGGTTGACTTTCAATGAAGAGCAGCTGAACGAGAGCAATGCTGATGGTGCGGCGCAGGCAATGAGAGCTGATCTCCATGGACAAGAGAGTCCATAAGTTTCACGAAATACAGACCAGAAAGGTCATGTGCTGGTGTGCCCGCAATAGAACATGCACGCACAAGGCAGGGTGTTGGACCACATTCTGCAGATCACATAGCGCAGACATGTACAGCAGTTGACATGCACCAGTGGTTTCTCAGTGTTCGAGCAAAGCGGCCGCTTCCGTTTCTAACAACATTTCAATTTCGGTTGGATATTTCACCATAAGGACGACTTTTTAAAATCTAGTTCGAAGGGACATCCGAAAACAATTTTGTCACGGTACAAGTTGTAGACCACTCAAAACAATCCTGTCTGAGATCTTTCATTTTGCCGTTTGTTTTCTTTTTGGGCTCTGTTTTCCTGACTGTTTTTTTCTTGCCTTGCTAGCTTCCGTGTGCTCCCCTTCTCAAGTTTTCTTGTTTCTTACCGCTGTTCAGTTGCCAGTTTTTGCAATTTTGTTTCACATCCTGCCGCGCATCCACACGCTTTATTCCATCCGTGGCCTTAGGCCACGGTAGCGTTTGTCACCCACCCCCGGCCTCAATTCATGTCGGCATATGTGGGAGATCTGTGCACTTGGGCATGGCATTTGCAGCATTTGTGTTTGAGTTCGTGGGAACATTCGCGTTGCGAAGATTTGCGATGACAATGCGAAGCTTTGTGATCAGAATCTTAGTTTTAAGCAGTGTTGTTTTTGCTGTGGACATTTTGTCCTAAAGTAGAACACAAAATATCTGTATAGAATATTCTTATCATTGAAATCTTGCAAACTACATTGTCTAGGAGTCACTGATAGGCAGACAAAGCACCAAGGGATTACAGACACTGATATTTTGAGGTTGATCTCTGTCGTGTTGGTCAGTTGAGTCGCTAAGACATAATTTCACTTTTCTAAGTTTTTCGGTCGACATTCTGAACACAAACCATAAATAGGTCACCTGCCTGATGCTGAGGCTTGTTGGTACCTTTAGTGTGTGGGACGTGCCTTGACGGTGGCATCCCACCCTCTGAGCGGAAGAACCTGGCCATATCCTCAGTTTCCCATTCAACTGGAACGGACACTGCCAGCTTTTCGATGACTTCCAAAACTGGAACTGGAACGACAAATGCAACTTCCAATCAGCACATTCCGGAATTGTTTCAGCAGGCCCCAATGGCAACTGCCGCAATGATGAGTAGCTCTCCGTTTCCTAAGTGAACTAAACATGTTCCATTCCTGTCGGTGGAAAAACAATTTCAATTCCCTTCTTGACCTTTCCTGCAAAGATATGTTTGCCTCAGGACAATCCGAATGGTGATTCCTATCCTGTTGGCATCTTTGTTCCGGATTGGGCTGCATCATGGGCAGCCAATACTCTGGTGGCAACAATCGTGGAGGAGTCTTGTTGCAAGAACAGCGGGGTAAAACGTAAAACACCTTTGATCTGGGATGTCCAGAGATGCTTTCCTTGACACTTTCCTTGACAGCTCAGTATTTCCTGGTCACACTTTGCAACACATCCAGGTTTCAACTTCTCTCATTGTTTGAGTGATTTGATGTGCACTCGACAAAAGAGTCTGTGTTGTCAGACCAGGGTGGTTTTGACCCTGCATCCTGGTCTCGCGAGTTTGAATGCAAGAATAGTTACCATGACCGTTTTGATCATTTAGGCAACTGCCTCCGTTTGGCGACAACGTGGAAGTAGTTGACGAAGAACTCACAGTTCTGTTTGCGCTTCTCCCACTAGAGCCGTGTCTATTTTTGCATTTTGTGGTGACACCTTGCTCAATTTGGGCACTTGGGCTGATGCAGAATTCTATTTGGTCTGATTTGTTCTATTTGTCCCACAGCCGACGGCGAGTAGGTCGAAAAGTGTATTTGGGCCAGCCATTGAAGAGGGATGAAGTGATTCGAGTGTAGATAAACTAAGTTGATGGAGGGTGCCACGGCCCACGTGCGAAGGAGACCTTTGGCTACAACGTGAGCCTTGTGAAGGGCACCGGAACGGTGAGTGGCTACTATGCCGTCAGCGGCTGCCTAGATCCCACCGCGGTAGGCGATCCTGGCTGTGGCTCAGGAAATGTGCATTGGCAACCAGTATGGAGGTATAACTGGTGGGGATGGGGTGTAACGATGGACTAATGCCATACACTTCTCTGAAACATGCATCTCCTGATATTTCCGGACTTGATTTCTTTGTGACCTATGCCTATGCCCTATGCTTTGAGGTCACCAAACATCACATCGTGATGGAGGCTTGGACGCTTGGCTACCCTTTGGTGTGGGAGACGCTGCAGAGCGAATATCCAGGTGTTGCAGCAAAGAACTTGGGAAACATGGGATATGAGGGTATCACCTCGACCTTCATTCCGAAGCCCGTGCAACAGAAAGCATACCAGGCGGAAGGAATCGCCTTGCAATACTTCAAGTACTGGAATGCTTCTTGGTACCAGCCTTCCAAATACTTTGAATCTATCTCAGTGATTCCCTCTGGGTTGACCAAACTTTGCAGCGACTCCACGTCTGTGATGACTGATGATGCAACTATGAGGAGGCACATCGTCTTCACAGGAGATGTTGATGGCTTGGTCTATGACAGCACTTCTGATTCATATTCAGCCCGCTGTGATGATGGTCATTGGTGGCTTTCACCTTCTTGCCGATCGAACTCTACACTTTGCGTTCCCTTCATCACTGGGGGTGTTGGTTGGGGCATTGAAGAGCTGATGCAGAAATCGACCAAATGGAACATGCCCATGGCCCTTGGTGTGGCAGCATCCTGGAGCGCTTACACGGAGTTTCCCTTTCTGCATCCAAAATCTCACTTCTATTGGTGGATCCCAGATCCAACCTTTCTGGAGTTGGAGCCACTTCAGGTGATCTATCCACCGCATAACAAAAGAGTTTTCGAACGTGGTGATTTGTCGACCGCAACAATAGGCGTTTCGGTTGACAAGCATGTCAGCCGAGACTTGAGCATTTTGGCGCCCAATGTGGAGAATTTTGTGAGCAACATTTTTGTGACCATGGCGCAAATGAATGCGATTCTCCTTGATCAAAAAAATACATCTGATAGCTGGAGAGAGACAACATGCCGTTGGCTGCGTTCAAATAAGAATGTCTGGCAGTCCTGGATCCCTGATGAGAGTCAATGCTTCCCGGGCTTTGGGCTTTATGACACAGGTCTTGATGACTTCATAGATCATCGGGTGAATGCCTCAAGCAAGATCGTGTGTCAGGCCTGTGCGGTGCAGATTTGGAGGATCAACAACTTCACAGTTCTATTCACTGGATTTCATGTGCAGGGAATAATGTAGAACTTGGGGCGTTTAGAATCTTAGAACTATTTGGGATGCAGTGCTGAAAAAGCTATTGAAGCATTGACATTGTAGGGCATGTTCTTGATGGGAACATGACACTGTATTGATTCGTCAGATTCCATCATTTCATGTATGAAGACCAGATTTTCCATTCCCACTATGTCAAGTTTGTAGCATTTCTGGAAGTCCCCTGCAGGCTTGCCCCTCGGGTACCTTCTCACAGCTCTTGGAAGATTCCATTGGCGAGACCTACATCTGTGTACCATGTGCCAAAGGAAGAAGCCAACCTCTTGGCGCGGCCACATCGTGCAATCTTTGCAAATCAGGTTGGGAAGAGCGAGCGGGGGGAGAACCGGAGAGCCGTCGCCTCCACGGGATCCGCAGTAGGAGTCGTCTCCACGGGCATGGCTACAGTAAGCCCAGTAGGAGTCGGCCATGTCAAGCATTGGCGATGTTGTAGTGACCAGGTCAACATGACATTTCAGGACAGTTTTACATAGTTGTGAGCTTTCCCAAGTAATGGGGTTGAAGCATGAAAATCAGAGGCGCCTGTCCATATGTTCATGCAGGCGAGTATCAGGATGAGATTGGGAGCAAAACTTGCAAGCGCTGTGAAATTGGCCTCTACCAGGAGCTTAGAAACGACTACAGCTTCTCATGACTCATGACCCTGTATCATGATGTCTTGCTGGCTTTACAGCGATTAATTGGTTGATCGATTGGTTGGTTGGTCGGTGGATGGATGGATGGATGGATGGATGGATGGATTGATTGATTGATTGATTGATTGGTGTATGTTTCACAAACCGCATTGGCTTGTGGCCTTCTGACTTGGCATAACAACGTCTCAACTCTCAACTCTCAGAAAGACACATGTTTCACCCGACTCTCGTCAACGCTCACAGCAGGACGAACTGGGAGCTGAAATGTGCAAGAGCTGCCCAGCTTCCACGACCACCCTGGGTTTAGGAGTCTCAGTCTCGGTCGTCGGACGATCAGAGTGCGCGGCGGTCCAGAGATGCACCGTCTCGAGTTGGTGCGGGAAGGGGCTCCGAGACGTAGGCAGCCCAGAAAGATTGGTTGGGTTTTCCACAGTTTTGTTGGGTTTGGTGAAGTGCACTGCCTTTTTGGACCTCAGGATACTCCATTGGTCAGGATACTCCATTGGCCACTCAGGACGGAATCTTGTGGAACCCATAGTATTCAGGGCCGATTCCTCATTCCCCGCACTGCACGCACGAAAGGTGCACTGAAAGCGGTTCCGGGGAGGATCTACGAATCCAGGTCTAGACCTATCCCCCGAAACCAGTAGGAAGAAGCTACGAACGTAGCGATGCGGGCATCGCGTGACTGATCTCCCGCGGATCTCGAGGATCGGTTGGCCAAAAGGATTGCGGTTGCAGGGAAAACAACATCAACATCGATGTGTCAGGCGCACCGAGTGAACCACCCGACAGACACCTGACCATCCAGTCAGATTGTTGGTTGCTGATTTCTGATGCTATATCAGTTTGACTCTGTTTCTCAAGATCCTGTAACCGGAACTGGTGAAGCTTTTGCGGCCAAAAGGCAAGCTTTGACCCGGTCATGTCCAGTGCCAGGCTCCTACAATTGCGTGCCATGCAGCGAAGGTTTGACATGTCCGCTGAAGTCCACGCTCGTTGCACGGCTGAAAAGGTCTACTGTAGGATTAGAAGGAAGAGAGGAATTGACATTTTTTTTTTGATTTCTGGCCACTTGTAATCCTCTTAAAGGCTCAAAGTCAGAGCCGTATTTCAAGCAATGTATTCCGTCAACTTGACGTTCTGGATTCTGAGGCTGACTTGGAAAGCGGCGAAAGCTATCTCGGCCAGCAGTACACCCCGAAGGTGCAGGAAGGATACTTCAGCACAGTGTTGGCGCCAACCGAGGTGCGAGACTGCGAAGAAACAAAGAAACCAGCATTACCTGCTTCTCTTTGTTGATAGCAGATCCCAAGTTACTGCAGTGGCTTCCACACATGGATTTCCAGGTATATCGATGCGGAACTGTTGCGGCCTGCCCTGGTGGCAAGCCTGGCTCATGCAGTGGAGGGCTCACGAACACACCCTGCGCACAATGCCGTCCAGGCCCAAGGAAGTGGCAGGTGGAAGGTTAAACAAGTGACCGAGCAAGCTCTCCCCACGATTGACTCGGGGCTCGATCCTCCGCTCATGCTTTTGGAGAATATACTTTACCCCTGATCGAATATCCACGAACGCCGCAACTCGTCTTCTCAAGCTTCATGGAACACTGGGTGGGGGGTCTCGTCACCCTCTTGCAGGCTTCCACATACCTCGCTTGCCCAGCTCACTGTCATCCGAGCGTTCTCGCCCCGTTCGTTTTTGGATTTGCTACAGGTATCCTGGTTTGCATATCCCTGGTTTCCATCTGTGGTTGTCTCTTTCTTTGGCATTTACCTGCTTTCCGGCCTTGGATTTCTCAGTCTCCGGTCGTGCGCCGGGCTTCGAATAGGTTGAGGGGGTACTTGCATGAGCACTAGGGCTTCGTTAGCTCCGCTTCGTGCTGAGTTGCTCAAAGTTTCTGAGGATCTTGCATCTATAGGAGAGAGAGTCAAGCAGTTGGCCCAGCGATTGAACGAGCTGGAAGGTTCAGCGAACGAGGATTTAGAGTGGGAGGTGATCGAGGAAGGGAACCTGCCCCTTGGGGTGTCAGACCTGGAATTCCCCTACCCAGGCGCAAGTCAGGTCCCGCAGGCACAGCCGATACCCTCCGTGCCTAGGTACCTGTCGGATTTGTGTCAGGAGAGGTTGAAGTCAGTTGCATCCATTTCCCCCCTGGAACGAGCTCAGAGGGCTTTCACTCAGGGACATCTGGCCTGGGTGGCCAGAGTGACCGGGCTGCACTATAGGCCAGCAGACGCGGTGCCTGCGCTCCCGAGCGCTCATTTCGTAGTCATCCGGGGTCTGGGACTTAGTCAAGCTCTTAGGACAACCACCAAGCGTGAAGCCCTCCGTGCCTTGGCAGTTCAGGACGACACAGCTATCATTGAGGATTTCCCATCATTCATTGAGGTGCAAGTGTTCTGCGTGGGCGCGCGCATCTGCGTGCCTCCACTGAAGCGATGCAAAGGTCCAGCCTCCGCCTCGCGGAAGTAGGGGACCCAAATCTCCTAGTGTTCTCAATCCCTTCGGAGGTTTCAAAAACCGGAGGAAATTTGCAGGTTTTCGCTATACCTGTCCTGCAGAGGGACGGTGGATTTTTGGTTGCACTACCAGTGGAGTCATTTTCGAATGAAGCTCTGGAGACAGCAGCACATGCAGACGAGCACGAACTTTTGGGGCCTTCCCACACATGTGTCGCTCAGCTCAGCGAGGAAGATGAGAATGGCCAAGAGGTCATGATAGACCAGGAGATCCTGGTCCTCTTGGTGGATGTGTCGAACCAGGCACTGCAGGCTCTTAGGGAGTATGATCCAGTGACGGACTCACTGGAGACGATTCATCCTTTTGATGATCAGTTTCCCCTAGCACTGCCTACAGCTGCCTCTCTGGTTGCCGCTGCCAAAGCCTGGATGGGAGAAGAAGATCAGGGCAGGCTAAATTTTTACTCGGCTCGAGAAGAGCCGGCAGAAACTCCTGTACGCTCAAAAGCGGCTGCGAAGAAGGCCACCCCCAAGAAGATCGCAAATGCAGTCCTGGCGGAGCAGGTAGCATCCCTCTCCTCACAGGTGGAGGCCCTGATGGCATTGCAACGTCAAGCACCTACAGAGCCCGCCAAGGCGGCTGTCACATACGCAGAGCCTGCCGGAGGACAATCGCCTGGCGTCAGCAGACATGCATACCCACAGCTTCCGGCCCTGGGGCAAGGCTTTGCCCACCTAGGTCATCCCAAGGAAGCCACAGCAAAGAAGGTAGCCGCAATGGTGGGGCCACCGCCCAAGACCAGAAAAGCTCCCCCGGCTCAAGGGGCCTTAGCACTACCAGACCCGTTCATACCAGAGGAACCACGAGATCTCTTTCCAGCGCAGATAGAGACTCATCCCATGCTCAGTGCGTTAGCCCAGCAAAGCACGGCTCTGACCACCTTGGTCTCGCACTTGGCGGGTCATGCGTCGGACCCTTTGGTGGATCTGCAAGCAGGAGGCCTGTCGGGAAGTTCTTCTTCTACAAGAGGCGTTGCCAGGAGAGAAAGAATGCAGACAGACCTGGCCTTGCGCCAAAGTCAGTACTGGCTTGCATTCCTGCAGCAGCTGTCCAGGAAGATGAATCCCTCAAAGCCAGTTCCTACAACGGAGGAGGCTGCAAAGGATGCAGGCCTGTCTTTCCTGGCCTACCTGGAGAGACATGGCGCCTACAAGCAGTCTCGGGAGCTGGGGACCATTTTGTGGGTCTTTGGATACATCATAGATGCTGCCATTGCGCAAGACTTCGATGGTGTAAAAGAGCACCTGGCTTTGTTTGCAGCCGCCCTAGACCAAGCTGCTCTGGATCAGAGTTGGACGACAGCGTTCCTGGTGACTCTGGTGGAGGAGCCTCCTCCGGTGCTCTTTGCAGAGAAGGGAACCCCACTGTCAGTTGCCAAGCCATTCACCCCCCTCATGCCTGCCGTGTGTGGGGGGGTCCTTCTAGCCTATCTCAAGGACATCGACATCATGACCAGCAAGAAACAAGAGGGAGGAGGAAGGAAGACCGGTCAACAGACCTCGCAAGAGCAGAAGGAGGGGGAAGCCTCTCCAAAACGCAGACCCCCCTTCCCGAAGAAGCCTAAAGGGGGCAGCCAGACACAGGCGTGAACAATGAGGCTGGCCAGCTGACAGGAGAGGCGCAACCAGCACCTCCTGTCGACAAAGGTCAGGAGAATTCAAAGCATGTTAGACCTGGAGAACACGTCTTCAGCAAGTACAACCATGAAGCAAAATTCAATGCATTGCAACAAGACATGACGCTTACAAAGTGGTGCGCATGCTTGACCTCGGCAGTCTTGAGGACGAGGACTCCTTTTGCTGCCCACTTGGCTCAGACTTTCCACCTGCATCGTACTGACCTCAGTACGGCACTGGCCTTTTTCCCGGTCCCGCTCCCTACAGGTGAGCACTGGGCACGGATGCCCCCAGACCTCTCTCAGAAGAGGCGTAGACAGGTCCACTTGAATCGTGCAGTCCACATCATTGTTTTGGCTTTGAACTACTACCACAATGGTGGCCCATGCAAGCTGGATTTGTTGGGGAGAGCTCCTTCTACTTCGCACCGGAGCCTTTATGCGAGGATCAGGAGCTTGATAAGGTCAGAGGGCCAAGTTGCGATTCCATGTATTGCAAACTCTGGCCGTAGGTTACCTCAATTAGTTGCAAGGTTGTCAGAGCTTTCAGTGGCATTGACGGCTATGGGGCCCTCCTGTAACCCCTATGACCGAAGCTTCGATGGCTTTGAAGTGCTTCCGGATACGGAGGCTGATGAGTTGAAACCATACAGGAACCTGGACTCATCCAGACTGGTTTTAACAGGCAGAGGGGCATGGGATGCCACAGAGTATCTCGAGGACGAGCTAGTACTGGCCTACAGAGAGCCGGCCTCTCTTTTGTTCAGCCATGAACCATGTCCGTCACAGGTCCCAGCAATTTCTGACCATCCTTCGGAAGTGGCAGCGCTGGCGAGACTTTGGGACAATCAAGATTTGTTGTACTTACATGACGGCAAGGATTTTGAGCTGAGCCCACAGTGTTTTACAAGGGTGTTCAACGCCTACAAAAATGCCAAGATGGACAGACAGATCGGAGACCGGAGGTCTAGAAATAGTTGCGAGAGCCGTGTGCGAGGTCCGAGCACTTTTCTCCCCTCTGGGCCTGACTTGTCAGACTGGTATTGCAACCCCAAGACCCACTACGTTGCACAGGGGGTCACTGATCGCAAAGATTTTTATCACCAGTTCCATGTCTCTAGAAGTCGCGCTTTATCGAACACGGTAGGCCCTGCGGTTGAGATCGAAGATGTAAAGAACCTCAAGGCCTATTCAGATTACATCTTGCGCCAGGCAAAAGGGCGCTACCAACGAAGCCTTCACGGAGACCGCCTGGGGATGAAAGGCCTGAGAGCAGCGCAGAGGAAGCCTCAGCAACTGTTTGTGGCCTTCAGATCTGTGCTACCAGGGGATCATGCAGGGGTTGATATAGCCACCAGCGCTCATACAGCACTTTTACAATCTCATGGCCTTCTAGAGGAGAGTTGTCAGCTGCAGAGTTGTAAGCCTCTTTTTGACCTGGAGAACTGTGAAGGACTGTGCATAGACGACTACTTTGCTATGAGCCTGGAGCAAGTAGGCACTCCGTTGCAGGCCTCAAAAGCCAGCCAGAAGATAGGCACAGCGCGGGCTGCCTATAGGCAGGCCGAGCTGTTGGGGAGCCCGGAGAAGGACATCCTAAGTGATAAAGCGAAAATCGTAGGTGCGGTCGTGAACTCATCCTCAACCGCTAGGGATCAGGGGTTGGTCACCCTGTCCGCCCCGAACGAAAAACGGATTGCGTTATCAGTGATTAGTTTGCAACTTGCCACACTCACACACACCACCGATGCGTTGCATGTTTGCCTGGTAGGAGGGTGGATTTCTGCAGCCATGTATAGGAGGCCTGTTATGGGGCTCTTCCACAAAGTTTTCAGCTTGGTCGACAGTGCCTCTATTGACCCAAACCATCCGAAGATCATCCGCTTGCCCAGGACCACCGCAAACGAGTTAGTTCTGGCCTCGGTACTAGTCCCACTCATGTGCGCCGAACTTAGTGCAGAGTTCAGCACTCAGGTTTTCTGTAGTGATGCCTCAAGTAATGTGGGAGCGTTTTGTGCAGCCACTGTGCCGCGTGCAGTCTCGAGAGTGCTTTGGAAAGCCTGTAAGTCAAAGGGTGCATACACACGCATGATGTCCCCGGTTGAAGCGGAGATCTTTAAGCTCGGAGGCTCGGAAGAGTTCGAAGGGAAGGAAGAGGTAAAGCCGACCTCGATCAGAAGGCCCTTGGCCTATCGGTTTGACTTTATAGAACTTTTCGCAGGAGCCGCAAAGGTCACCCATTCCATGGAAGCAAAAGGCTGGTCAGTAGGGCCCCCCATTGACTTGAGTCACAGCCCCGAATATGATATGACTAGCCATTATCTGATGTCATGGTTAAGCCATTTGATTCAGAGTCATGCCATAAAAAGTTTTGCCTGCGAACCACCGTGTACTACTTTTTGCATCATGCGACGGCCGCAATTGAGGTCAAAAGAAAGACCATATGGCTTCGATCCTAGCCATCCACAAACCCACACAGGCACCGCGCTTGCCCTTCGTGGTTTGCAGTGCCTTGAGTTGGGATGGAGACACGGGGTCCCAGGGTGGCTTGAAACTACGTATTCATCTAAGATGAAGTTTCTCCCACCTTATAAGACTCTTAGGGCCAAAAGGTGCGTGGACTTTTGTCGAACCGATTCGTGCCGTTTTGGATCCCCTCACTTAAAACCTTTTGCTTTCCTCAGCGTTTGGGCTCCCCTCGACCGTATCCGTCAGAGATGCGTCTGCAAAGGCAGGCATGTAGTGATCGAAGGAAAACTCACGAAGGCTAGTGCCATGTATACTGATGGGCTGGCCGACGCCCTGGCCACTGTCCTTTCAGAGGCCATCAATGCCAGGGCCAGCGCAGATCTCGAGTGGGATCAAGTCCAGACGGCAGGGCTTGAGAATGCTTTAGTGAACCAGGTTGCTCTTGAAGCACCCTGGTCTACCCTGAGGTCTTGGCCTTTTCGTCGCCCGGTCCACATTAATATCCAAGAAGCTGTCTCAGTCCTTAAGGTAGTTGAGCATTTGATTTTGAAGTGGGGACCTCAGAGGGCAGCCATTTTGGTCGACTCCAATGTTGTGAGGTGCGCAGTCTCTAAGGGACGCACTTCCTCGAAAGGTCTGATGCCTGTCATTGCTAAGGTAAATGCCTTGTGCCTAGCAGCGGGCGTGCAGATCTGTTTACCTTTTTGTCCCACTAGACTAAACCCATCAGACGACCCAACAAGAGGAGCCGCTCTGAGAAGCCCCATTCAAGGCTGTGACTTGTTTAGTTTTTCGGAGGGCGAACTTGCGCAGCTCTCAATTTGCGCCGGCCTTAGACGTTGGAGCGCAAATTGGGTCCGCCTGATGCTCAGCTTGCTAGGGCCCGGCCTTGTTTTCTTAAAGGATCGGAGCCGCTTTCGATCGCCCTGTGCCTTGGATTTCAGACCGTCGCTTCAAACACACTTCGAGAAAGGTTTTGATCAGACCCTTGGATACCCAGGGGAGGGGCCAGGCACTTTCGAGCCTGCTTCTCGGCACACGGTTCTGCATAACTGTCGACTGGAATTTGATAGAACCTTGGGTTTCCCTGGAGAGGGTCCTTCTCCACTCCTCTTCATCTCTCTGCTCCTACTCCTCTGTTTGTTTCAGGGCAAGCGAGATGCGCCTCTCTTGTGGATTTCAGGAGCCATTTTGGGGGGGCCGCGATACGCCATGGGAATGCCACTGAAACCACGAAACTCTGGAGATAGAGCGAGAGCTGAGCACAGAGCCCAGAAGTTACCTTTAGCTTCAGGACGACCTGTACTGCAGATCACCGCCAAGCACCGAGAGGAACTTCTGGAGGCCTTCAGAGCCTGGCTGCTGACAAGGGGGTTGGAACCTGGTGACCTTTTTCACAATACCTATCAGACAGTTGAAGAAATCAACATCTTGTTGACAGCGTACGGCCGTGAGCTGTATCGGGCCGGCAGGCCACTCAACCACTTCTCGGAGACCATAAATGCAATAGCATCCTGGAAGCCACAGCTGAGAAGGGCCCTTCAAGGGGCCTGGGACCTGGCCTATAGCTGGGTCAAATCCGAACCATCTACACACCATACAGCTATGTCTCCCCAGGTTCTGATGAGCTGCATCTCAGTCTGCTTGATTTGGGGTTGGGTGCGTCTGGCAGGCTGCCTAGCCCTAACATGGGGAGGTTTACTACGGGCAGGTGAACTCCTACAAGCCCGACGCCAAGACCTGCAGCTGCCGTCGGATCTGGCAGGAAGTGTGCCCTTTGCACTCCTTTCCATAAAGGAGCCGAAAACAAGGCACACAACCGCGAGGCACCAGTGTGCCAAGCTCGACATTCCAGACTTGGTGCAGCTGGCAGAGCTCGCCTTCCAGAAGTTAGCGCCCTCCGAACCTCTTTGGGACATGAGCGCTCAAACGCTCAGGTCTAGATTCAAGAGCCTACTACAAGCCCAACGACTTCCAACAAGTACTTACAGAGGGATGAGAGCACTTGACTTGGGATCGCTCCGCCCAGGCGGAGCAACGCACATATTACAACTGACTGAAAGTGGAGACTTGGTGATGCGCCGCGGGCGCTGGGCAAGCTATAGAGTAATGAGCATTTACATTCAAGAAGTCACCTCTACCTCCTTCCTGTCAGTGTTGGACAAGGACGTGAGAGACAACATCCTTGACCGAGCCCAGTGCTTCTCTTACTTTTTGGAACAGGCAAAGGCTTTTGAATCAGCTAGGATCCCAAGAGATGTATGGCACTTTTTGTTTGGCGCCACCCAGAAGAAAGACGCTTGAACGAGCTGGGGTTGAATGGGAAGAACGGGTGGCTTTGCATTCCAGATGAGCTAAGTTTGCTCTCTGTGTGTGT